TAACTTTTTCTCTCGATATTCGATTAAAGCGATTCAAAATGTGTTGAAAATGTAACTTAAAGGGATACAACTTTTCTAGAATTAGCTATTTTTCAATTCTAGAGTTTGTTTGGGAGGGATTAAAATCAGATTAAAATTGAAATATAGCTGTTGGAGTTGACTTTTATTAGACGGGTGGGACCCAATAACGGCTATATTTTCAATTTTAATTGGATTTTAATCCTTGTCAAACAAGCTCCTAATGTTTATTAGACCAAAAATGGGTCTCAATCTCCAATTGAAAATGTGGAACATCCTAGTGCTATTGAAAATTGATTTGTGAAAATATTTTGGTCATATTGAACTCCTTTTGACTTCTAATTACCTCCATTTGACTCATAGCATTGTCGAATCTTTATCTTGAATTTCGACACAATTCTTGAGTATTTGCACTTTAGTCCCTAAATTTTGGATCTTACTATTTTTTCGCTATTTTTCACTATTTTCTCCAATTCTTCATCAAACNACTTTGGATTTTGCCATTTTTTTTGATATTTTTCATTTGTTCTCCATTTCGTCATCAAACATAAAATTTTACCTACAAAGATGCAATATAACATAAATTAGATAGAAATTTATGGAAAAAATAATAAAATATCATCATTTCGGGTCTCGAATAAGTGTAGAGACTACACTCATCGTCATCGCCACATCCTCCCTTGATCCATTTAGGTTTTGCTATACACATTTGAAAGGTTTGTGCTAATGGGTGCAACAAATGAAATGTTAAGAAAAAACCTGCAACGTTTTGAAAGGTTTAGAAGCGTAGCTGCAATTATCCCTTCTTTTTATTAATTTGGCTAAATGTTTCCATACCTTAATTTTTAGTGATTAGATTACATTTTACTCGTATTGAATGTTCATAATCTTTACACATTGCCACATTTATGTTTCAAAATTTTTTTTATCGCATTCTTATTTTCAAATTAACATAAATTGTTCTTGATTATAGTTTCTCTTCAAATTTGTCCATTGTATTTTTTAGTAAGCATAACAAATAATACTGCAAAAATGCGATTAAATATTTGACTTTCATTTTAAAGCATGATAATAATATTTTTGGACGAAAACCATGATTAAGGACAAGATTTCTTGATTAATGAAATGTAATAAATAAAAATGTTATAAAAAAATATAAAAAAATTTAAGGATATAAGAGTGATAATGAATAAATGTTAATGACTTTTAACGTAATAAAATTTTGTTGTGAATATAACCATCAATTAATTTACTATAATAACCCTGAGTTGATTGTGCTTTTTGGTAGGTGTCTTTCTTGACGATATTGCCCTCGAATCTGGTCAATCGTGAGAGTTGTGATGACATCTCGCTCGACTCACTCCACATACAAGCGCGAGTCAATTCGTCGGTTCACGTCGTGTACTGAGCCCAACGGTGGGAAAGTCCAGTGGCTCAACTCGACCCATTCAACAGCCTATTTTATTAGCATTATGATAAAGTTGTATAGGAGAAACATTTGTTTGTTACCATTTCATTAATGTGACTTTAGCATTACAAAGGCATATATACGTATCCAAATAGCTCACTAACACAAACTCTTTTTTCTAATTATACAAACTTCGCACGATCCACTTGAGACAGTAGTCGTTGTATTGTTGTTAACCAATTCAGGGCTCGACAATAACTTTACCAGTAGCATGGCCATCTATGCCCTTAGCCCATGCCTCATCAGCTCGGCTCAGAGGATGTTTTGAATCGATCACTGTTTTGAGCTTCCCTTCTTTCGCCAATTTAACAACGGCATCCAGTCCCTCCTTTTTGGGAATTAGAAGAAGTGGCACCAGTTGCTTTTTAGAGAGAGTAAGTTTCTTTACAGCAAAGGTCCACATTGCACTGGGGCCAGGAGTGAGATCTATTACCTTCCCTGTTTCAGTCAAATTAGGCTCGAAAACAGACCATGGAATGCATGTTGTGCAATGGATCACTACGTCGTATTTCTGTCCTGATGGACTCTTAAGAGCTGCTCCTTCTGGGGTCTTGTAATCGATAACCTCGTCTGCTCCTAAGCTCTTCACAAAATCAACATTACGGGCACCACTAGTGGCCGTCACGTGTATTTCCGAGCTTTGCCAATTGAACAGCATAATGACCAACACCACCTGAGGCAGCAGTGATGAGAACATTTTTCCGTGGGCCACTGCCATCAAGCTTGATCCCGGCAGATTGGCTGAGGGCCAGGTGAGCTGTAAGACTAGCAATAGGCAGGCCCGCACCTTCAGCAGCTGATACTTCAGGAGGCCTTGGAACAGTCAGGCTCTCTTTAGCCACAGCATACTCAGCCAAACCACCTCCAGTCTGCATGCAAGATGCACAACATCAGCTCAACAAATCTAGGGTGGTTTCTTCGACAACGAAATGAAAAAACTTCAGCTGCACAGTTGTCAGTGAAGTGAACTGGTGAAAATGAAATCCGCAAACATAAAAAATAGATTGTCTTGACACTTACAAGTTGATTAAACACAGCAACAACTTCGTCACCGGGTTTGAAATTTTTGACGCCAGGTCCAACCTCCTGTACTACTCCTGCTACATCAGTAGCTACTCCAGAAAAAAGGAATAAGAAAAAAGGAAAAAATATTTAGTCATTATGAGAGTCTCTTCATCATCAGATCATGTTTTTTTTCCACAAGGGACTGTGATGTGTTTCTATTGGATTGCAAGTCTCTTCATCAGATCCTACTTGTGGTGCACAATTTCAATCAATAATTGTTACTAAGTGCATGACGGGAGAGAAATTTTTCTTAATATTTTGATTTCATGAAAGCTCCACCATATGAGAATCTCCCCAACAAGCCTCAGTATTAATCAAAAGCAACTAAATACGGACGTGTGCAGTTACCAAGAATAGGATAAAATGTATAACAATACATTTCGTAATGCTAATTTTAACATGATACTACTAACAGGTTCATGGCACACCTTCAACCACTCAAACATTTGGCAAAATCTCGAGAAATTGCAATAATCAAAGAGCAGACACAAGTTCACCAGGAATCTAACTCGATGAAAAGGTAGGATCAGAAGTTGAGCTATCGCAAGATCATTTAAGTGACATAAAAATACCATCTCTAAACTTCTCGCCAACGACACTAGTTTGAGGATATTATATCAGAAACTACTTAAAGCTATATGACTCTATTCGTTTTCCATTTTGTTGCTATTAATCGAAGGATTTGAACAATTAGTTCTATAGCATTTCCGATTCTCCCTCCCTTCTTATAGTTTCCCGAGCACCTTCATCCGTAAGTCTACTAAATTGCCAAATATTCGGGTTCTTTATCTAGTTTCTTAGCCTAGCCTCTATTCCACGGTTATTGATCCTCTTTGGCAGCAGCATATTGCTAAGGAATTCTCTACTTTGCACAGGACAAATACTTTGAATTGGTTCCACCACCACCTATAAAAGTACAACAGGTTCTCGCTGTGTCTATAAAATTAAAACCAAGTCGGATGGTCACCCACCGCTAGGGCTGTCCGTGAGTCGATTTTGTTCGGATTTGAAGAGAATCAAACCGACCTAAAAATTTCGGGTATTTAATAAATGGAACTGTCGGGTCCAAATATAATTATGGAATCGTTCGGGTTCGGTTCGGTTTCGTACCATAATTAAATTTTTTAATATTTACAGCAACACTACAAAAATACAACTAATGACATTTCATTCGTAACTTTTACAAATTAAAATTATGAAATAATCTGATTTATTAAATTAATTTGTTAATTTGTTTAGAAAAAATAAAATAATTTAATTAATTCAATATAAAAAATAAAAAAAATTGTTTAGTTTCGATTCTTATTCGGTTC